ATTGTTCTAAATCACTATGAAATTGATGTTTTGATTAAAAAAAAGAACTTTTATTCATTAAGGATGCATGCATTTGAGAAAAAGTACAGTAAAGCATTTATAATGTTATAAGTATATATATTTTAAATTATGTATTTAAATTTTCTGTTCATTAAAGAATCCTCCACTTTAAGCAATTAAAATGTTACAGACTTTAGATTCATTCATCCATACTGTTTTTATTATTATAATTTACCATCCAATATATATGTATTTTTCCATTTCACCCTTTTTAGCCAGTGTTACATGCTGCTTTTTCTTTATAACATTTCAAAAGGTCTGCAGCATCACACATTTGAGTACTGTTAATTTAAGCAGAGCAAATTTTAAAATTATAATTAATTAAAAAAAAGAAATAATTCTTTTTATATGTATGTGTACACATATATTTAGCAGATTATGTTTTTATATTTTAAATTTACATTTGGTATATACTGTATATTCTATATCGCTTTGCTGTATATAAGTGAACACTGATAATTTACCACTGACAGTTGAACAAGCATTTCAGTGAAAGCGAGAAGTCATTAATGTTTATAAGTTTTAATTCAATCCATATCAGATGACATAGTTTAGCATGAGGAAAGCAATTTACTTTGACTATTCTGTTTTTTTCAAATACAGTCACAAGAAATAGGTGTATTATGTACAATTAAAAACATGGCTGCTCTAACTTACTTGTGCCCTTTTCCTAGACATATAAATGGCAGATACATGGTGGAATCATGCCATTGTTACACATATTCTGGTGGCCCTGTTTGGAATGGGCTCATGGATCTCTGTGAACTCATTATGGGTTGAGTTGCCAGTTGTTGTAGGTGTTCTACCTGAAGGTAAATTGTGTTTTAATAAAACTTGTTTAATCTACCTAATAGATGCTGTATTTATCCAGATAATTTTAGAACTTCAAACATGTCATTTCTTTACAGAGTGGAACTTGCCAGCCTATCTTTCAGTGCTGATTGCATTTGGGAATCTGGGTCCAGTGGCTGTGACTTTAACCCACCACTTTTCTCCAGGATGGCTGAATGAACGCTTGGTCATCCACATCATACAAGTGCTAGCAGTGGTTGCAGCTGCATTTCTTGCTCTCTTTTGGTCTCAGGTGGTCACAGTCGCTGGAGAGCCAAGATCTGTCCCGTTCATGCTGCTTACTTTTATCCTGTCATTTGTCTGCTGTACTTCCAACGTCACCTTCTTACCATTCATGTTCCGTTACCCCCCACAATACATCCGGACGTTCTTTGTCGGACAGGGTCTTTGCGCACTCTTTCCCTGTGTGGTCGCTTTGGGTCAGGGTGTAGGGAAACTAGAGTGCGTTGAGACGGCCAACGGCACAGAGCCCCACTATCTTAAAGAAAATTTCCCTGCCCAAAACTTCTTCTGGTTCTTGTCTGTGATGCTGGCAGTTTCGGCCCTCTGTTTTTTCAGTCTGACAAACAGAGTGGTCACTTCGACTGCAGCAGAGGAAATTCCAAAGACTGAACAGGAAACAGTGAGAACGGAGGAAGAGACACACCCTTTACAAAACGGAGGTTCCCCAGTTTCTGAGGAACAAGTTGAAGTTGAAAAACAGGCACCTGTTGTGGCCTTCTGGACGTCACGCAATATATACCTGCTCCTGTTGCTGGGAATATCCAATGCTTTGACCAACGGTGTGCTGCCGTCCGTGCAGAGTTTCTCCTGTCTGCCTTATGGCACCATGACCTTTCACCTCTCTGTTGTCTTGGGCAACATTGCAAACCCTCTGGCCTGCTTTGTGGCCATGTTTTTCCTACTTAGGTAAGCGAGTTAAAGTTCTTGATGACTCTTTTATGTGCATAGTGGCCCTGCTAATTTAAATCACAGGTGTCCAGTCCTGTTCCTGGAAGGCCACTGTCCAGGAGAGTTTAGCGCCAACCCTAATTACGCACACCTGAACCAGCTAATCAAGGCCTTGCCTTACTAGGCATATTGTAAACTTCCAGGCAGGTGTGTTGAGGCAAGTTGGAGCTAAACTCTGCAGGACAGTGGCCCTAATTTAAATTCTGCTCATGTACAATTAGTACAAATCACATCATTGTGTTGTGTAAGTGTTATTAATTTAGTTTAATTTTTAGAATTGAAATGGATGGTTTCATTATAGGTCCAGCATTGGTCTTGGAATGGTGTCACTGGGAGGCTGTATTTTTGCTGCCCATCTCATGGCCTTGGCTGCGCTGAGTCCCTGTCCACCACTTTTAGGAAGTCAGTCTGGAGTTGCTCTAGTGGTTAGTAACTGCATGTCATTACTGAGTGGAAGAGGAACTAAGAACGAATCTCTCGAAATGTTAAAAGTGCTGTTTACTACACCACTGAACTACGACGTGCAAAAGTGGTGCAACTGTTTAGCGATTTCGCCCCACTCCGTTTCATTATTGTATCATCTCTAAAGATTTGAGAAAGTTATGAGTAAGATAATTAAGATGCTTGAAAGATAATTATTGAGAAAAGGGGTCATTATAGCAATATTTCAAAGAAAAAAATCAGTTGGAGTCAAAATCCTCTTATTTTAATAGTTGTGTACAGTGGAAGTCTATGGGGCAACTGCTATAAAATTATACTTGCATTATAAATGCATTAAACATTTAATATAATAATTAATTTTACTTAGAAATATTAACTTTATTATAATATTTTAAAATATTTTCTAGGGTAAATGACCATGCCACAGATGCTGCTCAATAGACCTTAACCTCTGTTTTACTCTAATTATTGATTTACATTTCAAAAATAATTAATGAAAATAAGGCACCCGTTCAGTCACCACACATAGTACACACATTATCTGTAAATACAGTATAAAAATAATTCTATTAAACTATATGGAGAATAGAACCCATTTATTCTCATCAGGTTTAGTTTTTTAACAGAAGCCTGTAATTCTTTCTTCATTCAGATCATATCCTGGATCATCTTCACCGGCTTGTTCTCTTACCTGAAGGTTGTAGTTGGGACTCTGCTTCACGAAGCAGGGCATGCAGCTTTGCTTTGGTGTGGAGTCTTCATCCAGGCTGGCTCTCTCATTGGAGCTCTCACGATGTTCCCTTTAGTCAGTGTGTACCAGGTCTTCCAGCGAGCCCAGGACTGCACAGACAACTGCAGTTAATATTACAGCACTTGATTTTACACTCACTCTATGCCTTTATACAACAGGTATCACTTCTAATCTAACATGGAAAAAGATGGTAAACCTGATGCCTTCACAGGACATTTCAAGTTAATGGCAATGCAAAAAAAGAGCTACACTTGATCACATTGCTTATCTTTGTGTTACCCGATGGCACATTGAGAATGTAAATAATATGTGGTTGATACATTTGAGTCACTTTAAATGTGTGTGTGAACACCTTGACCTTGATCTAGATTAAGTGAGAAGTGTTTTCATGCACCAAGACAAGACATCTGTGTTTGGATATCAGAGCAAGTCTGATTTCATAATGGAAAACCTTGGTATCAGCATGTCAGCAATTGTTTAGACCAGAAATCACAAGTCAGCGATCTATAACTACAATATAAACTATCCAGTAAGTAGACTTATACTGTCTATACAGTAGTAGTATTATACACAGTATTTTGTTTATTGCTGGTCATTGTTGATGAATACAAATCAGGTAAGTTATATTGTTCCTAACTGGAAAAACTGCTTTCTATGACTCCAAAATGAAATTGTGTTTTGACGACCACAAGCAAAAAAATGTGTATCGTCACATTCCATTATTTCTTTATATTTAGACACTCAACACTCTGCTGAATATCTGGTTTTGTTTAAGTGTACATTTTTAATTTTAATGTACATACAGGGTCTAAATGTACTTTCGAAAATGTCTAACCTGTCGTATCTTCCATGTTTTACCCGTTTGATTTGGAATATTTTAGATGTGAGGCCAGTATTTTAATGAAGGTTAATCTGATTTTTCAGCTGCTGTTATCTTGCACTTAAATTGTGGTATGTGTCATTTTTGGCATTTAGCACTAATTATTCTTGGCACTAATTGCATAAATTCAGAATAAAAACTGGGTTTAAATCACATTTAGTTTTATAAGAGCTGGAGATGTGTGTTGTGCACTAACTGCATTCCTGACATCTCTAATTAAAGCCTTTATTTAAACTCTGTTAATTAACTGTGCACAGTATTAACATGCTCTTGATACTTTGTCAATGACGATATGAGGGAAAAAAAATCATATTAAAATGCCATGAGGCTTAAAATAATATGGTGTCAGAACTATTATATGCTGTTTTGAATATGTTCACATGTTCTTATGCACTTTTTATGTGCTGTTGTTCTAAGATCTCGGAGCTTTTTGTAGTAAATAAATGGTTCATTTGACAACAAAGAAATGTGAGTGTGGTATGAAAACAAAGTTGTGGGGCTTATTATTATTATTAAACAAACAAAAATAAATAAAAACCTAAAACCTGACCTATAAACTACAGAAATGTAAAAATCTAGCGTTCGTTCTGGCAGGTCACGTTAGTCAATATCGTTAAAGTTCAATAATGTTATGTTGGTTCTGTTCTGTTTACCCTGGGGGGGTTATCGCTGCTCTCCCTGCTCTCATTCATGCTAGGCTGCATGGGTGTGCAGGGAGTTATTGCCCAGAACGGAACCATACCACCAATCCAAACTGTATGCTAATTGTCAATCATCTTTGACGATAGTGGTCCTGACAGAACTAATTCACAAGCTTTTTTTTTTTTTTTAACAGTCATCAGCAGTTATATTAAGTCACTTTTTTACTACATTGTTATATAACATAATGGTATAGTTAAACATTTACTGAAGCTGTGATCTGCTTAGCTAACTTTTGTTACATTTCCTGCCAGAATGTATGGAAGAAAACAGCTCTCATTGCTTTCTGATGATTTTTTTTAATCCCCAAATACGAATGTTAATATTGCATTTTTAATAAATGTATGATTAAAGTTGTTTCTGACCTACATACAAGCATTATAATAAATGATTACAAATGATACATTAATTTTTTTTTTCCTTTATAAAACATCAACAGACAGGTGCCATGGTTGGCTAGAATAGGCACACCCACTCACGCAGAGGATATAAGACATTTCTCTCATTGTACAGGGCTTTGTCTTCATATGATTAGCCTCAGATCATGTGAGTACCTGTCAGTTTTCACATATATCAATCTTTTTTTAATTTTTGTTTTGTAAATTTAAAAAAATGCATTTGTCAAATGTTGCATGCTAGGTAGTGTGTATGATCAGTAAGTTTGTTGCTTATGACAAAAATAATCGCAATTAGGTTTTGTATAACTGCACTGTACTTCATAAAAAGGCAGTTTACTATGACATGGGAAACAAAAAGTAAATGGCAGACTTCAATACTATGACGCACATGATGATAATGATTTTAATATATTCGAGTAATCTTTTACTGTTCTGTATACTGGAACTAGATTATCATATCCATTAACTTTCAGACGGACACAGAGCTAATCATTTAACAGTTAAACACCAATGAAGGTGACAGCCAAAAACAGCATACGTTTAGCTGAGCTTTCAGTGGTGACCAGACGACAAATAATTAAGAGTAACAAATACAACAACAGCAGCTGAAACAGTGAAACAATAAAAAGTAATGCATAAACTGCATGATCTATTCATGTCGCGCAGCAGCATTGCTAGGATGTTATCATCCACTGATTACACGAATATGCTAAAGTTCATCAGAACACGGAATGAATGATGAAAAATGTTTAATTTGCTTCTTTTTTAAATTTCTTACCGTGTTGGATGCATTTTTGGCTGGTAGAAGCATCACTTCTTCATACGTCTTGTCACGTTTTGACAACATTAATTTGAGAAAAGTACGCAAACATTTCCGTTTGTTTTCTCTATTTTCTCTAGAGGTCTGTGAGTGGGTTTATAATAATAATAATAATAATAATCTCCACATTGCTGTACCTCATTTTAACTTGTTTTAACATTTTTATTGTAAATGTAAATATATGAATATAGTTTTATTGCTATGACAGTTTTACATCAGTTGGGCCCATTTTCATGATCTCAACTGTCTCTACAAACACCCTGCTAACTACACTATGATTTGTACTTTGACAGGCTTTCTGCAAATAAGCACAAACTTTCTGACTTTGTTCTTAAAATACATTGGCACGACATTAAAGTATCAGTAAGACAATGCTCCATTTACTGCAGGTGTTACTGAATAACTTCATATTAGCAGATGCGTCTTATCCAAAAAGAGTGTGCACTGACTGAAGAGTCAATCCCCTGGAGCGCTTCTGGATTAAATGTCTTGCTCAAGGACATAATGCTGAGTCTTCTCTGACATTACAGCTGAATAAATAAACTTCACTGCACCAAATTTGGAGTCTAAAGATAAAGTGTTATTTGTACGTCATAGTGGCTCCAAGTAGAACTGCAAAAATAATGTCTGTCATTGAATGAAATTCTCTTGGGTACTAACTGTACACATCGTTTTTCTTTTCTGAAGACATTAAGGTTACTAAGTCTGATTTAAATCAGCATGGCCACATCTATCCTCACCCATGTTTTGGCTGGCCTGTTTGGCATGGGCTCCTGGGTCACCATCTGTGGTCTGTGGGTGGAGCTGCCTCTCATCGTTCCACAGGTACCTGAGGGTTGGTATCTTCCCTCCTACATCTCCGTTATTGTCCAACTGGCCAACATCGGACCTCTGTTTGTCACATTAATGCACCGCTTCCGCCCAGGAATGCTCAACGAGACTGCGGTTATCTATTTTATTGTTGGTTTCGGGATACTGGCAAGCCTTTTACTGGCTTTCTTCTGGAGTGAGACGGTAGTGGTGCAAGGCGTAGAGCGCAGCGTTCCTCTGCTGCTCCTCATCTTCTTCATCTCATTAGTGGACTGCACCTCTTCGGTGACGTTCCTTCCCTTCATGACACAGCTCAAGGCAGAGTATCTCATGACTTATTATGTAGGAGAAGGCCTGAGCGGTCTTGTCCCAGCTTTAGTGGCATTGGTTCAAGGTGTAGGTGTTATGGAATGTGTCAATGCATCTCAAATCCTCAGATCCAATGAAACACATCTTAACGGGTCTGAAAGAGACACTACCTACCTTGTGCCTCACTACCAACCAGCTAACTTTTCAATTGAAGCCTATTTTTTCATCTTGGCGGCTATGATGGTGGTTTGTTTGGTGGCGTTCTTACTTTTGAACTACCATCCAGCTGTGGCCCGAGAGCGTCCCAATAACATAAATGGAAATGAAGATCCTATATCCCGCTGGAAAAACAAGAAATCTGAACAGAAACCAATGATGCGTTCTAAAAAGGCTAGTCAGAAACCCAAGAGAACGTTTGGGACGGGGACGCACACATGGATACAAGTCATATATATCTACATTATGCTAGCATGGGTGACCGCTCTGACTAATACCGGTTTGCCGTCAGTGCAGTCGTACTCATGTTTACCATATGGAGACCAGGCCTATCACTGGTCAGCAACTATGGCGAATATTGCCAATCCTATAGCTTGTTTCATCAGCATGTTTTACACTCAAAGGTGAGCTACATCATGAACAATTGCAATTTAATGCACTAACTGATTTTATAGTGAATTAAATGAACAATAACTACTTTTTACACAGCTTCTTACCAAACAAATAAGTTTGTGGACATGAAATACTGACGTGAGTTTAAAAAAAGATAGATATAGATAGATAGATAGATAGATAGATAGACTGGCTATAAACATACTTACTACTTCTCAACACTTTGTTGCATTCTAAACAGGTCCTTGTTGTTGATGGGAGTTCTCACTTCTATTGGCTCTCTTATTGGATTTTACGTTATGGGCATGGCTGTGTTGAGTCCATGTCCACTGCTAGTTAATGACACCTCTGGAGCCGTCATTATTGTGAGTACTTGGGACCAGTTTGTGTTTATTTCCAATATAAGAAGCATTCGTTTTTTTTGTTGTTGCTTGATCTGTGTTATTGTTTCTTTTTGTATATTCACACGGAGTAATCCTGTGTTTTCAGGTGTTGGCTTGGTTCTTTTTCATCTTCATCCTATCTTATGTAAAAGTGATTGTTGCTGTCATCTTGCGAGATGAGGGCCACGGCGCTCTTGTGTGGTGTGGAGCTGTAGTGCAGTTGGGCTCAATGTTGGGGGCAGTGACTATGTTTCCTTTGGTCAATATATATGACTTTTTCACCTCCGGTGACCCATGTAACACTTATTGTCTATGAGATAAATGTTCTGTAAATAATATTAAAATGAATTATAGAATTAATTTGATGAATTCTTACTTGTGGAGCATATGAAAAAAAATCTATTAGACTTTTAGTCAGAAAGGACATTTGTTTAAAATGAATATAAAAATATTTGAATTGATGTAAAACAACTTTTTTAATGTTGATTATTTTGTATACTATGCAGATGTTTTGCTACGTATGTTAACCATGTTTGTTAAGTGTTTTATGCTGATGTATTTTTTTTTTTATTTGCTTACTTGTCCATTTATTTGTTTTTAACATCCTAATCATGACTTGGTATTTTTAATGCCAGATATGGCAGAATTGTTAAATGTCCACTAGGAGGC